CGTTATTTCGACATTTCTTCTCGCTGCGCTCGTCATGCAGATGCTTCAAGGCTACAGCACACGCATTCCAGCACCCGAACCCACGTTGACCATCACGGCATCAGAGGTGCACGCATGGACTGATCTGCCCCCAGAGGTTAGCAGAAGACGGCCCAGATCTACAACACACTGAAATGAACATGCCCCGGGAAGCGAAGGCCATCGATGAATATTACCCCATCTCAAAACTTCTCGAGGGTTTTCGGCGTGCGCAGCATCGCTGAACAGAGCCCTGCCGCTGCGTTCCCGGTGACAGTCAACTGCGTGAACCCTGGCCTCTGTCACTCAGAACTATCCCGCAATACGGCATCCTGGGCAGCTGTGCGCTTCGCGCTTTTCAAATGGCTTCTTGCTCGGACCACAGAAGCTGGGAGTAGAACGATTGTTCACGCTGCTTCGCAGGGGGCTGACACGCATGGCCAGTACATGTCGGATGCCCAGATTTCGCAGCCAGGCAGCTTCGTGCTCAGTGATGAGGGAAAAAAGACGCAGGATCGAGTCTGGTCTGAGTTGTTGGAGAGACTTGAAATCATTCAGCCGGGAGTCACGAAGAATTTCCTTTGACGAATGAGTAGCTGGGAAAAGAATGCACCCTCTTGCCATGTGTGGTAATGTGAACCGAGAGATTCGATTAAAAAATATCCAGATGATTGAGGTCCACAAAATGAGCTCATGTGAGTTTCATGGAAGTTTGGATATTGATAGGGTGTCATGAGATTTATGAACTCCCGAATACACAGACAACTGGCATGGACATGTCAAGGTCCACCCAGGGTGTTGCAAACAATCTCTCATAATATATATCTGTGATTTCCAGTTTTAAAAAGCTCGATCGACACCGCCATCGACTTTCCATGAACAGTACTGTACCGAGATGAGACGCCCTATTGCCAGGCTTCAGACCCGTTGACCGTCGAAACCCTCCAGGAAGCGTAAGAGATGAATTCTCACGCTGCATCCAGCTTAGTACCCCGTATTATACCTGCAGCATGCTCAGCAACGCCGTAAACTGTAGCCTGTAAGTTGGCGCGAGGCAGGATCGGGATGATACTCGCGTCACAAACACGCAAGTTGGAGCACCCATAGACTCGGAGATTCGAGTCGACAACGCCCCCGAGCTCGCGTGGCATCATAGAACATGTCCCAACTGGATGATTTCCACCAACAGCAGTGCGCTTGATGTATTCCCTTGCTGATTCAAGGTCTGTTAATGGATCATTTGCACCTGGGTTGCGTTTACCACCTGGTTTCAAGTAATCAACTAAAGGCTCCGAAGCAACAATTGTCTCAAGGAACTGAAGATGCCGCGACATGATCTCGATATCGAGAGAATGTGTCAAGTGAGCCGGATCAATGGCGACCTGAGTAGAATCAGTGCTTGCCGATGAGGATTTGATATGCACTGAGCCTCGCGACAGTGGATGAGATAGGAGTAAGGCCACAGAGAAGTAGTTTTCTGGCCCAGATGGCGGGGAAGCCATGGTGCCATCGGGCTTAAACCAGGCAAATCCCGGAAAGGAGAGGTAGCAGGCTGATGCTTGATCTTGAGAAACAAGTATGCTGCGCACAAAGTCTTCGTGTGCCTCGGCGAAAGCGGGCGTTGCCGATGTCAAGTTGCTAGGCTCTTGCTTGTGCTTTGACATGAGTTGTTCAATATCAGACTTTCCTTCGGCAGTTTCTATTCCCGGGAAGGGCAACTGCGCCACCGCGTTCGTGCCACTGCTCGCAAATGGACCCAACTGCTTCCCATATGCGTCCATAGCGGCTGCAACAGAAGCTTCGTCCTGACGGGCGAGTGGGTCCATAGTCGCGAGGCCTTCCAGAACTTCAAAGCTCATACCGCACATGATGTGGTTCTGCAGATTCTCTCCGACATGAATGTTGTCCACAATGGATTCAATGCCGAGGCTTCTCAATCTCTGTGGATCTCCCACGCCAGAGAGCTCAAGAATCTTGGGAGAGTTGACAGCTCCCGCTGCGAGTATGACCTCGTTATTGGCTTTTACATGGTGGATCTCTCCATCCTTGTTGTATCGCACGCCGGTTGCCACAACCTGTCCTTGTTGAGATGTGTCGAATGTGATCTTTTCCACTGAAGCCTGGCTGATTAAGTTCAAATTGCTCCTTCTGCGAGCGGGCTCAAGATAGCTGTTGACAGCATAGCTTCTTTGTCTTGTGTCAGGATCGATGGCATCGGTATTGGTAAAAGCCCCGGAAACTTGGCCTGTAAACGCATCGCCTTTGCCAGCGTGCCCAAGATTGGATAGCGTCTGATTCCAAATCCCGGCCCAAGCGTTTCCAGGGTCATTCGGTAAGCTCAGCTTGATGGGGCCACTTACGTCCCCGGCGTGCGCCGGCAACGTATAGCATTTGGCGAAAGATTGCGCGAAGTCGTCCCACTGCCAGCCTGGATTGCCCAGTTTGGCCCACGTGTCAACATTGAATTTCGACGTTGGAGTAAACGACAAGCCGTTGATGGCACTCGATCCGCCGAGGAGACGACCTTGGGTGAATGCAAGTTCGCGGCCGCACAGACCAGTCTTGGTAGGGTTCTGTCAGTTTCGATGACGAAAATAGCTAGGTATTTCCAATTCAAAGAAATTTAACGTCAAAGGGAAGATTCTGAAAAGTAACAAGCCAACTAACCTGGGGTACAGTCCGAAATCCCCAGTTTGCAGCGCTATTGAGCAAGGTAGGCCACATAGGGGGCATTGAAATTCGCGGATCCGAGGTCAAGTCCTCTCCCGCTTCAATCACCAAGATCCGAAGCGACGCATCGTCAGAAAGACGAGCGGCCAAAACGAGCCCGGCGGTGCCCCCACCAACGATGATGATATCGTATGTCGTTGAATCAGACATGACTGTCAGAAATGGTGCTCAAGAGAAGAATATGCCTGAATAGTTCTTCTACGCAAGCTTTTAGGAGACATAGCGGCTCCTTTATAGCTTGACGAGTTGACTCGGCGACCAAAATACTGGCTATTTGATGAGTTAATGGAATCAGCTCCAATTGAGGGATTGCCAACATGAAGCGCAATGACGCATCCAGGTCACGCCAAGGGAGGCGCAGACGCAGCCTGATGTGTGCCTCGAACCGAAAACGGGCACAAGATGTCAGACTAAGAGTTCAAATCTTGGTATGATGGACTTGGTGTTTCCTAGGTGCATCAGGCATGCTATTCGATGCTCCTCGCCGTGTCATACTTATGAAACATGCATTTACTGGGGAAGCGAGCTTGGCAATGATGCTCTGGGTACAAGCTTGCCCACATGTACTATTGTCTAAACATTCAACCCTTGGAATCCTTGCGACTCGACCAGGCCGACGAAAGGGGAAAAAAATGTTACGCCTGGCAAGTTACTCCAAATTTCACAAAAGGTGCCTCACAGTGACATTTCGTGATGGTTGACGATGTCACGGGCCGCAAAAGCTACCAGGGCGCGTACATGACGCCTGATCTACTGGGCTTATGTACTGTGGTTACATCGCATTAGTGCTTACCAAGTTGTTATCTTCCTATAAAAGACGAGAATCCCTCCTTTGCCCGGCGCAAGCATTTAGTAGCTATCCCTGCGACTAGAGATTATCATCTTCAATTGAACGATGGCATCATATCTCGAATCTACCCTTTCAAGGACCCGAAGACGACCAGATCTTCGAGGCGGTCCGGCTACAGAACGCAGTCTGGTTCCGGAGCGAGACACTTCGGATACTCTGATGCTTCCAGATGGCCGACGGCTCGGGTTTTCTCAATATGGGCTATTGACTGGAAAGCCTGTGTTCTACTGCCATGGACTTCCGGGCTCCCGCGTAGAAGCGGGACATCTACATGAGGAGGCGTTCGCTACTGGAGTGCGCATCATTGCGACAGATCGTCCAGGTATGGGATTAAGTACGCCACAGCCTGACCGAACACTTTTAGATCATCCAAAAGATCTAGAGCTTCTCGCCGACCATCTCAAGCTGTCCGAGTATGGAGTTCTGGTGCGCAGGATATCTCAGTCTTGACCGACTTTGAGCAATGCTGACATACCACTGTGCAGGGCGTGTCAGGGGGCGGCCCTTATGCACTTGCATGTGCTGTCTCACACGCTCCCGAAAGACTCAAGTGCGTGACCGTTGTATGCGGCATCGGACCACCTGATATCGGCATGGCCGGCGCGGGCTGGTTCCACTGGCTGGGTTTCACCTACGGGTGGCGCTATGCTCCTCGCCTTGCCGCGTGGTTCTTTAAGAGCCAAGAACAACTTGACTTTCCAGACGAAAAACGTCTTGATATACGATTACAGCAAGCAAAAAAGCAAGATGCGCAATTTCCGGAGTCAGAGAAAGATATTTGGACCGATAAGGATATAGTCGGACGCATGGTAATGTCGAGCCGCCAGGTCTACCTCCAGGGCATCAATGGCTTCAGTCAAGATGGCTACTTATTGTGCAAGGAGTTTGGGTTCAAAATTCAAGACATTCGTCATGAATTGCCCATAAACCTTTGGTATGGAAAGCATGATACGTTTGTGCCTCCGAACCATGGGAGACAGATAGCCAAGCGTCTCGGAGATCACGTCAAACTCAGAATGGAAGATGATACACATGCAAGTATTTTCTTCCGTTGGAGGAAGGAAATATTTAGAAGATTTGGTCAGCGACGTCTGAGCTCATGTGGATCCAAATTTGACTTGGAAACGAATATGCGGGGATACCAACCCCGTGGATGACTCCCCATTCAGCTATCACGGTAGTCTAACGGCGAGTAAAGGACAACAACTGCTGATCTCTTGAAACGTCTCTCAGTGGATGAAATTTGATATATGGGAAGTAAGACTCCAATTGATGGTCCGTCGTTACGCTCGGCTCCTCCTGCGTGACTCCTCTGG